GTGCTCTTCCCGGGTGAGGCAGTCAGTTGCCGGCCATTGGATGGCCGGTATTGGCAGCTCACGTTGGCTGCCAACCTCTCACGGTAGGTCACAGCAGCCCACTGCCAGCCCCGCTGCAGCCTATGCCGTCGCTGGCGACATACAGCAGCCCAGCTCTAGCTTGAGCTGTTGTTCACCATCTTAGCTCTAGAGGGTGCAGCGTCACTGGCCCCCATGTGGGATCTGAACTGGTAGCCCTGCTGCTCAGAGCTCGCACTCCCAAGCCAACTCTTTTTTTAGCCGAGCCATCCTGCCACCTGTTGGCAGCTCAGCTCGGGCTGGGAATCGAACTGCTGTTGCTCAGAGCTCAAACTCTTGAGCAAGCTCTTAACCAACTGAGCCACTCAGCCGGCCCCCAAGCCAACTTTCAACCAACGAGCCACTCGGCCGGCCAACCCTTTTTCTTAATCCTAGTGGTAAAACCATAAAGCACCTCCCTATTTTCTCAGGGTTGGCTTATTCTGTTCCTCATGTGATTTATAGATTGACATCATATATGAATTAAATCAAGATGCTCTTGACCGATTTTATTACCACAAAGATTGAGGTTTTGTTTCTTTTTTTAAAGATTTTTATTGGGGAATTAGGGAAGGGGAACATTGTGTTTTTCCAGGACCCATCAGCTCTAAGTCCAGTCGCGACTTTCAATCTGGTGGTGGAGGGGTGTGTGCATAGTCCACCATCCCATGCAGGAGTTGAACCGGCAACCTTGTTGCACACTTGAGCCACCCAGCCAGCCTTCGGCAGCTCACGGCTGCTCAGCTCAAGGTGCCATGTTCAGTCTTAGTTGCGGGGCGGGGCGCAGCCCACCATCCATGTGGGTGTCAGACCGGCAACCTTGCTGCTAAGAGCACGCGCTCATACCAGCTCGGGCGCAGCTCATTGGCCCATGTGGGAATCAAACCAGCGACCCTGTTGCTCAGAGCTCGCGCTCTTAACCAACTGAACCACTCGGCTGGCCCCTTTTGTTTCTATTTTTTTATCAAAAAAAGGTTTTGGTGCAAAATACAGTTATGCAAAAATATAGTTATTTCCTACTATGTAGGATTAACACTTTTTAGTGACATTATCATCGTGGCCACATATTTCCAATTTAAAAATGTACCTGAATAGTTTTCATCACTCATCCTCTACTTCATTGTTTTCATATATTCTTTAATATCTACTATATAGACACTATATATATATATATATATATATATATATACATATATCTAATATATACAGACAATATACATTGTCTATAGGATGATTCTACATATGGTCTGTTGATTATTTTGTACTCTGCCTACTTAACTTTTTTTTTTAAGGTTTTATTGGGGAATTGAGGAAGGGAACAGTGTTGGGGAATTGGGGAAGGGGACTTTGTGTTTTTCCTGGACCCATCAGCTTCAAGTCGTATTGTTGTCCTTCAGTCTTAGTTGTAGAGGGCACAGCTCAGCTCCAAGTCCAGTTGCCACTTTCAATCTAGTTGCAACGAGGGGCGCAGCCCACCATCCCATGCGGGAGTTGAACCGGCAGCCTTGTTGTTAAGAGCACGTGCTCTCACCAGCTGAGCCATCCTGCCACCTGTTGGCAGCTCAGCGTCAGCTCAGCTCGGGCGCAGCTCACTGGCCCATGTGGGAATTGAACTGGCGATCGTGTTGCTCAGAGCTCGTGCTCTAACCAACTGCGCCACCCGGCCAGCCACCTACTTAATTTTTATTATGTCATTGTTAAGCATGAGGAAATCATTCAGGATATAAAAATTATTGAATTTCTGAAGATAGGCAGAAAATATTTTCTTCTATTTAGAAGGATAGTTTAAATATCTGCTGAGTTAAATTCAAAGGAACAGAGATTGTAACTGGATAGAGTGGGTAATAGCATGTAATATGAAAATCATCAGCGTTTTTACATTAATCATGTCTAATAACTGGGGGGCATAGAGGGTGACTGCTTTTGAAGGTCAGAGAAAGAAAATGGTGTCACCTCAGAGGTGCAATGACGTAGCAAGACAGTTTTAAGGGCACAGTATTTGTAAATGTCCAATGAAGCAATTTTGAATCAGAACAAAGGAGCAGGCAAAGTAAGCTTAATGGGGATAGAGAACGTAAGTATATGGTTGGATTTGGTAATAAATTGGACTATTTTTGAGTCAGCATTATTAAGCCGTGTTGGAGAGCTGTGGATAAGCTTTTCAGCATAATTCTATTGTATAGTGCACATTTGTGGCAATGATTTAGATATCATCAGGTTCAGCAAGAGTTTAATGATCTGAATGAAATGAAAAGTTTAAAATGTTTCAAATATATGCCTGAATGTGAGATCCTCAGAATAAATGAAAGCCAATATTTGGGTAAAATTACTATATAAGAATGAAAAACGAAACAGAAAACCAAATAATTCGATTAAAAAATAAGTAAAGAAATTGAATAGCCATTTCTCCAAAGATGTTACACAAACATCCAACAATCATATGAAAAGATGCCCAACATCACTAATTATTAGGGAAATACAAATCAAAACCACCGTGTGATATCACTTCACAGCCATTAGAATAGCTACTGTTAGAAAACAGAAAATAACAAGTGTTGGTGAGGATGTGGAGAAATTGGAACCCTTAGTCACTGTTGTAATGGGAATGTAAAATGGTGCAGCCGCTGTGGAAAATGTAATGGCACGTCCTCAAAAAATTGAACACAGAATTACCATATAATCCAGCATTCTGTTTCTGTATATATTCAAGAGAACTGAAAACAGAGAGATTTGCAAACCCATGTTCATAAAAGCCCTATTCACAATAGCCAAGAAGTGGAAGCAACCCAGTTGTCTATTGATGGATAAACGGAGAAACAAAATTTGGTCTAAACATACCATGTAATATTTTCAGCCTGAAAAAGGAAGGAAATTCTGACACCAGCTACAAGATGGGTGAACCTTGACGAAATTATAATAAGTGAACTAAGCCAGTCACCAAAGGATAAATACTGTATGATTCCACTTATATTATCTACAGTAGTCATATTCATGGAGACAGAAAGGAGAATGGCGGTTGCAAGACCCTGAGGGGAGAGGAAAAAGGGGAGCTGTGTTTAATGGGTGTGGAGTTTCAGTTTTGCAAGATGAAAAGGTTTTGAGATTGCATGCACAACAGTGTCAATGTACTTAACACTACTGAACTGTAGACTTAGAAGTGGTTGATTTTATATTGTGTTTTTATCATTTAAAAAGTTAATGATAAAATTAAAGAGCATTCTCATTTTTAAAAATGCATAAAATGAATGAAGTTTTTTTTTTAACATGACAAGGGGTTTGGAATACAGTTTATCCAAGTGACTGAAAGACAAAAAAACAATATATAATGGCCATATCATGCTCAGTATTTAAATCTCTGGGGGCGGGGGGTGGGGGTGGCAGGGGATAAAGTAATAGTAAAATTTAGCCACTTTTTTTTTTTTTAATCTGCTCTGTCTTATGTTCTATACTAATAAATTGGGTTATATTAAGTAACATAAAGCTGAAAGTTATAACAGAGATCAAAGTCCAATATAATAATTTCTAGAATAATTTCTCTTCTGTAAGACAGTTCTAAAAGGCAGGTCAGCCAGTAGCCTTACTTTCTGTATGCACTCGGTTTTTTCCCTTGTCATTGCCACACTATCCTTTATGATATTGTTGAGCTGCGTGATTGAATGTGCATCACATCCAAAGCCAGTTCTCCTAGGTAGAAGAGGGGTGGAGGGTATTGAGAAGCTGTGGTTTACCGCCCTGGCCCAGAAGTGGGCATAATCTAGGCACATTCCATCAGCAAAAATAGTCTCACGGTCACATCTGATTGCAAAGGAAATTGTGAACTGTTATGTAGCTTTGCCGGCTATGTCCCTGGCCACAACTAACTTCTATGGAAGAAGGGTGAAACATTCTAGGGGACAGCTTGCTTGTCCAGTCTTCCAATATACCTTTCATGGGGCATGTATATATTCCTAGTCTCGAGAAAACAAATTTCAGCTTCATGGAGAGTTGAGTTTGGGCATAGGTATTCTCTCACTGCTTGGCTATGTCAGGACTGACACCTGAAGAGTTTTCCAGAGGATATACAGGGCTGATGGATTTGGTATTTTTACTACCAAGTGGAAGGAAGCTGGGAGATGAGTGACAATTTAGATCTGAAAGCTAATGAAGATGACTTTCAAAATAAAACAGCCAGTTATTTTTACTAGCAAATATTGGTTTATTTGGGACTAGCAGAGAATTACAATTTGGGACAAGCCTGCTCTTGCAAAAACTATAGGCAAGTCCAGCGAACAAAGGAGAGGAACCTTATTTAACAGAGAAAAAGGAGGGAGAGGGGTATTTTGTTCAAAAGTCCATTGGAGGAAAGCAAGAGTTCAGGGTGGTGATGACCTCTCGTTGGCAGAGTTGTGAGGGTTCCACTGGCTGGGCTTGTTGCTGGGCAAGGAGAAAATCTTCCTCCTGTGGGGGTAGTAGAGATACTTCTTGTTAGGAACGCAAAGTACATCTCTTGTTGGGGTCTCTTCCTGTCGGTGCCTGTAATTGACACTTCTTCCTGTTGGGGTGTATAATAGATGTTGAGGGTAATGTGTGAGAATGTCTCCTTCTGGCCTTTCAACTCCATTTTACATGAGATTTCCTTTATTCAGTTTCACAAAATCCTGTACTGTGAGCTTCTTCCTTTAAGCCTTGACTATTCACAGATGTTGTCCTATAACACTTGTCTGTTTTATCTTTGATCCTGTAGTCATCCCACTAGGTCTAGGTATCTAGACTGCCTACATAAGTGGAGCCAAGTTGCCTTTGTTCAAATCTAATTTTCCCCACGAGTGAGAAAAGTGCTTTTGGCCAATTATTCAACCATTCTGTGCCTCCTTTTTTTCATCTATAAAACAGGGACAATGCATGTAGTTACCACGTAGGTTGTTGTGAGGATTAAATGAGTTTAAGTTTATGTGTGTATCACATAGAACATTGCCTGGCAAATGCTAAGTGCTATACAGATGAGTGATTGGCATTTAATAAGGGCTGTGCGACTGTTTCCTCTCATCGCCAGCACCACCACCATTGTCATATGTCTCAGTTATTTCCCTGTGCTCAATCTTGTCAGATCCATATGATTTCCCCTCTATCCTTTTCTAACTATTCATTGTGTCTATTTCATCTTTTTCTCCTTTTAGGAGGGGAGTTTGGGTTTGAAACCCAACAACAGGAAATTTCTGAAAAAGCTTCATTTCATAATGATATGGCAGGCAAAGTCACAAGAGATGGTTCTTGGTGTTCTGTTTTAGAAGAACTGTGGAAAGATGCTGACCATACAGAGAGAGATCAGCAAAATCAAAATAAACCTTCACATCCTGGGGCCTTCCTCAACAAGAAAACATTCAATACAGAGAAAGACTGTGAATGTAAGGACCCTGGGGAAATCATTCATGTGAGGCCCCACCTTGTTTCTTCACAAAAAAGACCTCACAAACATTGTTTGTTTGCAAAAAGTTTGAAGCCTAACCTAGAAGTAAATCATCAAAATCAAAGCATTAGTACAAAATACCTTGATGAGATTGTTGGATCTGGTCAGCTATTCACTCATAGCTCTTCCAATGCCAGCTGCAAGAATATTCATACAGGAGAGAACTTCTGTGAAGGTAATCAGTGTACAAAAGTCCTCAGCCGTAAACAGTCACTCGCACAACATCAAATTCATACTCAGGAAAAACCAGATAAATGTACTGAATGTGGAAGGGACTTCCCCCAGAAGTCACACCTTAGGCAACAGAGATTCCATAGTGTAGAAAACCTCCAGGAATGCAGCAAATGTGGAAAAGCCTTCACTCCACAACCAAAACTCAGTGTACATATGACAGACCCTCCAGGTGACATACCTTATATATGTAAGGAATGTGGAAAAGTCTTCATTCAGAGGTCAGAACTGATTACACACCAGAAATTTCACACTAGAAAGAAGCTCCATAAATGCCATGAATGTGGAAAAGCCTTTTTCCAGATGTTATCTCTCTTCAGACATCAGAGAACTCATACAAGAGAAAAACTGTACAAATGCAGTGAATGTGGCAAAGGCTTCTCCCAGAATTCGACCCTCATCATACATCGGAAAATTCATACCGGTGAGCGGCAGTATGCATGCAGCGAATGTGGGAAGGCCTTCACCCAGAAGTCAACACTTAGCTTGCACCAGAGAATTCATTCAGGGGAGAAATCCTATGTGTGTATTGAATGCGGGCAGGCCTTCATCCAGAAGGCACATCTGATTGTGCATCAAAGAAGTCACACAGGAGAAAAACCTTATCAGTGCCGCAGCTGTGGAAAATCTTTCATTTCCAAGTCACAGCTCGATATACATCATCGAATTCATACTGGGGAGAAACCTTATGAATGTAGTTACTGTGGGAAAACCTTCACCCAAAAGTCACATCTCAATATACACCAGAAAATTCATACTGGAGAAAGACACCATGTATGCAGTGAATGTGGGAAAGCCTTCAACCAGAAGTCCATACTCAGCATGCATCAGAGAATTCACACTGGAGAGAAGCCTTACAAATGCAGTGACTGTGGGAAAGCCTTCACTTCCAAGTCACAATTCAAAGAGCATCAGCGAATTCACACTGGAGAGAAACCCTACGTATGCACTGAATGTGGGAAGGCTTTCAATGGTAGGTCAAATTTCCATAAACATCAGATGACTCATAGTAGAGAAAGAACTTTTGCCTGTTACACATGTGGGAATGCCTTCATTCAGAAATCAGAGTTGATTACACATCAGAGAACTCATATTGGAGAGAAACCTTATGAATGCTGTGACTGTGGGAAATCCTTCAGTAAGAAACCACAACTCAAAGTGCATCAACGAATTCACACAGGAGAGAGACCCTATGTATGTACTAAATGTGGAAAGGCCTTCAACAACAGGTCAAATTTTAATAAACACCAAACAACTCATACCAGAGACAAATCTTACAAAAGCAGTTATTCTGTGGAAGACTTTACCTAGAAATCAATACCTAGTATGCATTCACGTATATATAAAAGAAACCCTGAATTTCTGGAAGAAAAAAATCTCATGTGTCAGATTTAATTGTATGTTATAGAATTCATGCTTTAGAAAAGCTCTAGGAATGGATTGCATATCACAGAGTTAAACATTGTTTTATGTGAGGAAAATCACTCAAAAAACTTTTTTTTTTAAGATTTTTTTTAAAATTGGGGAGTTGGGGGAGGGGAACAGCGTTGGTGAATCGGGGAAGGGAAACAGACAAGTTGCTGTCCTTTTGGTCTTCAGTCTAGTTGTAGAGGATGTCGCTTCCTGGCCCATGTTGGTATTATCATCGCGTTCTTCCCAGGTGAGGCAGTTGCTCACCGGCCATTGGACGGCCACTCACAGTGGCACATGACAGCTCACGAAAGAGTGCACGCCAGCTGCCGGCCAGCCCTGCTGCAGCTTACGCTGTCACTAGTGACTCAGCAGCCTAGCTCCAGGTCGAGCTGTTGTTCACCATCTTAGCTGTAGAGGGCACAGTGTCACTGGCCTGCGTTTGGGATTCGAACCAGGGTCCAGCTGCTCAGAGTTGGCGTCCCAAGCCAACTCTTAATCAATGCGCCACTCGGCCGGCCCAGAAAAAACTTTTAAGGATGAGTGTGAAATTTGTCTACATTTGTACTACCCTTGTTAGGGATTATAAAATTCATCTGGGGAAGAAACCCTGGAAGATGTATTGAGAAAAGTGTTTCTATAGATAGTGGTACAAGGCAGATTGTTACCAAGTTATTTATAAGACAGTTTGTAGGGAATTTATATTAATGATAACCCTGTTTGATGGGGGATATCAATATTTTTAAAGTGCCAGCAAACTGAATTATGACTGCACAATATTATGTATGTATATTTATGTATGGACATAAATTTATATGGTCAGGTCAATATATATAGTCCATATTTGTACTATTATATATATTATATATGTAAAAAAAAAATATATATATATATATATATACACACACACACACCCCACCCTCAGTTCTGTAGTGTTTGCTACAATGTAGGAGGCGTGGATAGAGTATATATTTTTAAAAAGGATGTAATTGTATTTATCAAATTTATTCCCTATTGATATTTGTATTCTGAGGTTGCACAGTCAATAATTATCCATTGCTTTATATATATATAGACACATGAATGTACATTTTTGTTAAATGCCTAAATATGACTATAGTGTATACTGGTCTTCATGATGCAGTTTTGTTTTTTTTTCTTTTGCTCATGATTAGCGTAGCATTCCCCTCCCCCTTTCTTTCTACCTCCACCATCTATGGCGAGCCTCTTCATAAATAACCAGTGTCAACCTTTTAGTATGGATTCTTTCATATTTTTAAGTAGGCTCCTGTCATATACACCAAGAGTCAGCAAACGGCCATCTTTTTTTAAATAAAGTTTTATTGGAACATACTCATATTTGTTTATGTGTTATCTGTGGCTGTTTCATGTGCTCCAATGGCAGAGTTGAGTAATTGTGGCAAGACCATGTAGCCTGCAAGCCAAAAATATTTACTCTCTGGCCCTTTACAGAAGTTTACCAACACTTGTTATCCATACACACTCATTACTATGCTCATAATCACACCTATAAAGGACCTTTCCTCTTTGTTTTGTAAATATTGAATCTTCATACACATGTGTGCACCTTGTTCTTTTCACTCTACAATACAGCTGTCCAGTGGCTGCATGGCATTCCATTATGTGGACGTGCTGCAATTTATTCAACCATCCTCACATTTTTATTCATTCTTTCCCTTACTGTTTTTTTTTTTTCCTACAAGAAGCAGAATACCATAGTCTTTAAGTGGACAGGCCCAGGAGCCAGGTTCCTGTATTTGATTCTACATCAATTGTTAGCTAACTCATCTGTCCTGGTTTTCAAAAGGAAGATTGTAATAGTGCCCACACCCCACGAGTCATGAAAAGTAAGTGTATGTTAAGCACTTGGAACAGTGTGGAGAGAACCAGTGCTTGGTAGATTTGAGGGCGACCCTGAATGGACAAAAATTGACAGGATGGGGATTAGGGATGGCAGAGAGAAGAAGCGAGCAAAATAAACTCTCCTTTAATAAGAAATCAGGTGCGAGGGCTGGTTTCCCACCTGGGATTCCATTCCAGCCTCCAGATACCCCTCAGCTTGGCACTGGGGCTCCTGGGACTAAGAAGTTAATGTCCTTTATAGCGGAGCAATACTCCATTGTATAAATGTACTACAGTTGAATGAAGGAGCAGAGTAAACAGAAATGGTATCAGATATAGAGAAAGCTGATGGTTGCTAGTTGGGAGCGGGGTAGGGATGAGGGAGAAAGGGAAAGGATTAGACAGCATAAATACATAACTACAGTATTGCCACAGGGATATGAAAGTTTGAGGAATATAATTAATAATGCTGTAAATATTTTATAGGGTGTCAGATGGTCACATGTCTTGTTAGGGAGACCGCATCATAGGTGGGGTAGAGGTTTGATCACTGCACTGTACACCTGAAGCTGATGTATAATATTGTATGTCAACTATAAGTGACTATATATATATAGTCACTAGATGTGGAGTATAGAGTGGGAGTGGAATCAAGGGAATTGTAATAAATATGTATGATATGGGGGGAGTGGGGCGGCGGATTGGGGGAGGGGGGTTGTCACTTCAAGGGGTAAAAAGTATAACTATTGCACCGTGTTGTACAGCTGATACTAATTTTATTTTAAATGTGTATTTCACAATAAAAAATTATAATAAAAGAAGTTAATGTCCACTGTGAGGTTGGTGTAGGGGGGCTGCAGCTCCTTGGAGAGCAGCCTGTAGCCCACTGAGCTCGTGCCATCGTGCCATTGTGCCATCACCTGCCTTGGATCCAGGCTAGGAGGCCAGAACTGGGGGCGAGGGGTAGGAGGGGCAGCCATGTGAGCTCAGGTCTCTGGGACTGTCCAGGACCACCCCTCCTCCAACATGGACTCACCTCTCGGGGTTCTGCTTGTGTCTGGGGTCCTGCCACTCCTCCAGCATCTGGTGGTGGCCAAAGAGCAGGTGGAGCTGTGAGAGGAGCATTTCCCTTAGTTTAAGCCTTACAGGGGAGAGGATAAGGAGGCCAGATGCCTGTCTTCTCTGATAGGCCCGCCCCACAGCCCAGCCTCTAAGGCCAGGGTGCCTGTGTCCCCCTCATCCAGGGCAGCCCATCTCCTCCATGCCATGGAGGGACCTCCAGCTCCCTGTGCTAGGCTCCCTAGAGCAGGGCCCCCCACCTGGCAGCGATGTCATCGTCCTCACGATGCCAGCCCCAGCGTGTGTTGGGGAAGCCATTTATCCTCAGGGGGTGGTGAACAGGGCGCAGGGCAAACACCCCTCCAAGGTTATCTGGGTAGGGCAGTCTGGAGAGGCAGAGAGAGTTGGAAGCACAGGGAATTTCAAGCAACTGGCCCTGGCCCTCTGGCTAGGATCTCCAAGGTTAATTTCTGGGTTACCCCTTCTCAACTCACCCCTGTGTTAACCTCTCCCCTGACCCTTGAGATGTCCCCTTGTCTAATCCTGGGGTAGCTCTGTCCCTGACCCTTATGATGACCCCTCACTTGACCTTGGGATATCCACTCACTGAGTCATCTGACAGGCCCATCTTGTGACCCCATTGATGGCCCCTTCCTGACCCCTAGTTAGTCCCTCCTATCATTCGTTCCCCTTCTCTGACCTCCGTTAATCTCTCTGCCTGCCACTTTATTAAGTGCATCCTGACTCCCTTATTATTAACCAAATCCACCCCCACTTGACACCTACATCCAAGAGGATGATTCTTCATTGGATGAGGCCTTCCCGCAGACTGCTTCGTCCCCTTGCTGCCTCAGCCCAAGGGATCAGGGTCTGGACCTTACAAATGGACAGGTCCAGGGAAGGGCAGGGTCTGGCCAACAGTCCCCCTCCCTCCACCTATTTGTAGTTGAACTTGTCTGTGGCCACAGACACATGGGCAGGAGAGATGTCACAGGTGTAGAGGTTGCAGTTGTCCTCGGAGTAGGTTCACATCATGGAAGAAGACACAGTCCCAGTCCTCCTGCATCGCCTCCCAGAACCCCATGTTGCATAGCTTGCCCTGGTTGAAGGCAGTGTTGTTCAAGTGGGTGGACAGAGATACTCCGTGCTGCCCTCACCAGCAGGCAGTAGTGTTCCCCCGCCTGCCAGGCCAGTCCTCTCTTACCTTTTCAAGTGCCATTCTCTTACCTGGAACCCCTTCTTATACCCACTGTGGAGCTGGAAAACCCATACTTGTCCGGGAAGGTTCATTTCAAAGGTCACCTTCCCCTGGGAAACTTTTCTTGGATCCCCACCCCCATCCTACGTGGAGTCAGTAGTTTCAGCTTCTCAGCTCTCCCTCTTTGGCCATCTTCTAGGTTCTCAAGGATCATCACCTTCAAGAGGCCAACTGAGGGAGGCAGAGGTTAGGAGTGATCAGGGGCCGCCTGTGTCTGTTTCTGCTCCTACTAGACAATGACCAGGTCTGATGACCAAAAACCATGAGGCTTGCCTCTCTTCTTCCCCTTCTTCTTCCTCCACCATCATCATCTTCTTCATCACCATCACCTTAATCATTACCATCATCACTTATTATCATGTTCATCATCATCATCGCCATCATATTTATCATTATCTTCATTATGTTCAACACCATCAACATAACCACCTCAACTCCATCATCACTGCTACCAATATCACCATCATCACCATCACCAACATCACCACCATCATTACCATGACCACTATCATTGTCACTGTCACCACTGTCATCATCAGCAGCAGCATCTTATTTATCACTGTCATTACCAGGATCATCACTATCAAAACCATCATCACCATCACCATAATTTTCATCATCATATCACTTATTGAGCACTTACTATGTGCCAGGCATTGGTCTCACTGCTTTACATTCATTAACTCGATTAATTTCCTCCCCACCCCACCCAATGATGGAGGTATTATCATCATCCCTGTCTCATGAATGAGAAAACCATGGCACAGAGGATAAGCTGTTCCCCGTTTCTACAGAATTATTCTGAGTAATAGTGTGTTGGATGGATGGATGGATGGATGGATGGATGGATGGATGGATGGATGGATGGATCGATGGATGGATGATTAGTCCAACACTCAGACTACACAGATAGTGGTGGGCAATGGGATTCAAACAAGCATCTAACTGACCCCAAACTCTTTAATT